TACTTTATAACTTTCGAGTTATAGAGTATTTCCGTACATCATTATGACTCGCCTCTTTCAAGGCATGCTGTAAGGTCTCTTTACCCCAAACAGGTAGGGTGGAAGAGATATGAGAAAAGTACCATAAAAGCTTATCCTAATAGTACAAAAATTAATAATCTTTTTTATTTAATTTGCAAAAGAAATTATGTAGGAAACATTTTCTCTGGCTGGTGTGCAGTAAGAACAAGTCATTTTTTCTAAGCAAAGACACAACAGCAAATCAAAGCAGGTGTGCTAGTCACAGAAAAACAATTAACTAAAAGCCAGAATTAACTTTTGAAAGGGATGTAGAGAGAAATCAAGCATTTCATTTTCAAGGGATAATACAACTCAATATCTAAAGCTAATGAGAATACATGTAATGGAATCTAAGTGAAATCAAGGAAAGGCATCAGTTTATTGCAAAATTTGCTCACTGAATTTCAGACATTTATTAACTACACTTAGTATCTCATCTTACTTGTTGAAGGAAAGTAGGAAGCTGTTGTCTCATTTGCTCCTGAAGTTGAGGATTTCCAGCAAATAAAGGATTATTCAACATCATCTATGAGACAAAAATATTTAACATCATAGGTCAAGCAGTAGATAAAAAAGTAAATACTAGAGTGGATTTTAAGACAACTATTTACCACATATGAATCAGATAACAAGATAATGGTCTATGATAACCTCAGAGTAATTATCTATCACTTCTCCTTAGGCCAAAACTTATTCTGAAACAATGAACCACCAACCTGAGAATTAACTGAAATAATTGGTGGTGTGGAGTTAATGAGATGCTGGGGTTAAACCCCCAGCCCTGAATGAGGGTTGCCATATGGATAATGTCCACAACCAGGCAAGAAAGACCCTCCTGATTGGTTTTCACCCAGGGTCTGGCCAGCCTTGAGTGGGAACTGATTAGGAGATCACCACCAGGTGCCCCCACCTTCCACATTAACTTGGAGGTGGGGCAAGAAGCCACCTCTATAAGAACTGACTCTGCTTGTAGTGGAGTTGGTTGGTCTGCTTTCTTAATGTATGTACTATATAAGGATTTTGGCTATTGGAAGGGTTCCCTGACTCTTCATAGGAAGTGGTGTTTCCAGAATGGCAGAACAAGATCATGAGTATCTCTCTAGGAAATTTCTACATAATTGGACCGATTGCTTGGGTCCTTCCATCTTCTGTGGCTTTGTTCTGTGGCTAGCTTGCTCCCTTCTTTACATCCTACGCTGTGTGTTAATTTATTCCTCCCTCCAGTGGTCTGGCACCTTGGATCATTTGTGTATGATTTAAGATCAGAGGGAGGAATGTGGCTGTTGGATTGCCTGTTAATAATATCCTTCTATATTAAACAAGCAGACAGAAGAGCTGGGTTTTTTGTTTGGTTGGTGTTTTTTGGTGTGGATGTGTTACACTTCTGAAGTGAATCCTTGCCAGAACCTCACCAAAGCAACCTCATTTATGTAACAAGAGAAACCTTTTCTGGTCAGCCTCCACTACAGATATGATGGTTTTCCTGTAAACATTGTCTGCAAAAAGCCTGGGATATGTTCCAATTAAGTGTCTAACATACAAAAGATATTATCTCAGTTCAAGATTTGACTTTGGATATTATTGCTGCAAGTAAATCTGGAAAGTGCTTCTACAAAACCATTCATAAAACAGCAGTACATATCAGCGTTTCTATTATGAGCAAGGATCACAGGTGAGAAATTAAAACCAGAATTGAAGCGAGATATGGTACCAACTCCTTCTGTCCTCCCAAGCTGGAATGGATATTTATTTACTAGCTTAATTTATAATCGAAGCATTTGTTTTGTTTAACTGGTTCTTATGCTAGGCCACAAAATTATAGGGCTGTATGAAGCATACACAAACTTAAAAATTGTTACAAGAGAATGCCTGACATGATGTCCGACTACAAATGGAAGAAACTTACTGCAACAGATTGCTAAAGGTAATAATTTCAATTAAAGTCAGGCATGGACATACTTAAACTAGACCATTCACAACAGACAAATTATTGTTGAGATGTTGGCACAATTACTCTGTATAGAAAATATAGCTGTATCATAAATTCAACTCCTTTTTTCACTTCAGTACACACAACATATTGCTACATGAAAAGCATTTACCTGTACTGCAAGATCAGGATTCTGGCTCAATGACTGCATCATGCTTCTCATATAGGGTGCAGACAACATATTTTGCATAAGTTGTGGATTTTCTGTTATCTGCTGTAACAAACTCTGCATTCCTGGTGTGTTGAACATACCAGCTTTAAAAAAGAAAATTAAAAGGTCACTTTAGTAAAAAACTTGACTATAATCAAAGTAATTAGACTGCCTAGAACTTGGATACAACTGTGTGGTTTTGTTTTTAAATGAGCCTTAGCCCCTCAAATGCATCTCAACGTGGTTCTGCTTACACAGATGCATCTGCCATAGAAACAAGTTACTCCAGAGGCTGTATCTAACATGTAGTCCCACTAAGTATCTACATTATTAGCTATTTTCCTGTTTATCTTCAAACGGAAAAAAAAAATCATTTAGCTACAATTTCCTACTTTTCTTATTTTAAGGCAGTACACAAGTAGTTAGTACTCAATGTAATTTTCTGTTTGCTTTTCTACAGAGGACTTTGATACTAGTCAAATGTTTTATGCAAATAAATAGCAATACAAACTTTGAATCAAAACATCTCTTTCTAATAACAGAATAATTTCAACAAACTCCTGAATATTTGAAAATCTATACAATTGCAGTAACAGACACACCTCCTAGTCCAGGTCCCAAATTTGGTATAGTTGAGCTCTGTCCCATACTAGCAGAGGTGCTATTTCCAACATTACTACTGGTGCTGGTACTTGTGGAACTTTGAGAGCTGGACTGAGGAGCCCAGGGATTTGGTAAAGGATCTTTATTTTCTGTATGAGATGGCTGACTGTCCCCTCCTGATGATTCATTGCTTACTAAGGAAGCAAATGGGTTACCTGAAAACTACAGATGGAGAAACAAACATATCATCTATTAGTTGACTATTATAAAGACTGCTAGAAACAGCATGTTTACAAAATTACAGATTAAGGTAATTGTTGGTGGCTCTTAATTATAATCACCATCCTAAAATAAGCCAATGTAAATATTCTAAAAATATACCAATGCTAAAAGAGATATCATCTCTGAAAACAACAAAAAAGATAAGTTAATCACACCTCATTTTAAATGCAGTGTTTGCTACCACACTAGTACTTTAATCACAGTAAGATTATATCTTGCATAGTGGTTTTCATCTTAGAAAAATTTCAAAGCCTTTTTTCTTCCTAAACACACTCTTAATTTTTCCTGTACCTCAGTGTCATGGTTACAGGGGCTGGGACCAGTTTATCATTATGTGGGTAGAACCCAAATCTTTATTCTATACCCTCTATGTCATTGCTCATGGGCTGTTAACAAAATCATTGGCAGCAGCTGCCCAGGACAGACCTCACATCCCAGGCTACAACAGATAAGGAAAGAGGTCCGGGGAGATGTTAACACCTTCCCACCCAGCAGGAGGAGTCCTCCCTGTTAATGAGCCCATCCATGCCTTGCCCCATGACTCATACAGAACTCCCTCCAGGAGTTACATGGACAATCAAGGACCCACTGCATGACTCATAGAATGACTTCAAAGCATTGTGAGATGCTCTGCCCAGGGGGAGGAGCCAAGTGCTCCCACCTGGATATAAACTGGGGTTCAGGACAGCACAGGGGGCCCTTACCCACTGGATTTTCCAGAGGACAAGAGCTACCAGATCTTTTCTACGAGATCACTGCTTCATCTGGACTGCTACCACCACCCTAACAGAGTGTCAGGTTGTATTCTGACTCTGTCTGTGGTTTTTCTTTTTACTTTTGCATTTCTTTTATTTTTTTTCCTATTAAATTGTATTTCTGACTTGGAGTGTCTCACTGGTTTGCTTTCAAACCATTACACTCAGGAATTTTATAAGTCAAAGAATTAAAACTAAATACATTTAGAATATATATAACAAAACTTTATTAAAGTTTAAAAATAGCTTATCAAACTCACAAAACAATCTTTATTCCTTCAAGTTTAAAAGGGCATAGGAACAAGCCACATGTTGACTTGAAGCTTCAAGAAATTTTTTGTCAAGTACACATTTGAAAAGTTACATTATTTATCTTATTTCATTTTTGGAAAAAAAAAAATAGCCCAGAACCAAAAACCAAATAAATAAAAAAAACCCTAACAAACAAAACACATTTACTTTCAGTGGCCCCTACAATCATTTCTCACCTGTTCCTGTGCTGCATTCAACATTGGCTCCTGAATATCTGTGTACATACGTCTCAAGGCATTGTAGCCACCTGGTATACTTTCAAGGTTGCTCAAGGCTCGGTCTTGGTTTTGCATCATTTCCTGCAGCATTGCAGGGTTTCTAGCAAGTTCTAGTGTCTAATGAAACAGAACGTTTAATTTGTATTAATAAAATCCATTCTAAATTTAAAGCATCAGCATTTAACAGTATCTCAGTTACTAATGTCTAACTCCATTTGAAAGTAGGATTAAAGCCAAATCAAGGTGTCATCTTAGTGGGAGGAGAGTCAATAAAATTTGATATTTAGCCAACATTCTACCATAACTGTCAGTATTCTGCCTGAGTCAGAAAGCGTTGACTAAATGGAAGAAAAACCCTTGAATGTATCATTCTGTTCTTTCTTGTCTCTTCTCAACACAATATATTTCTACCACTTTTAACATCAGTACAGCCTGTGGCTTATAACGTGAACCTGAAAAATAAATACCTTAATTTTCCAAAGCCTCAATTTGTTTCTTAATGCCTTCTGCCACATAAGGCATACCTTAAATAACACATAACTTTAGAAGCAATCATAAGTACCCACAGTTACATAAACTGGAAACAAGTAGTATTTTGGAGAATTACTACTTCATAGTAAACTCACTGTTGACTAGACAACAGAAGATTTCAAGCAGTATCCAACTCTAAACTCAGAAAATATGATTATACAATCTTCAGGATCTTTCAAAACTATGCTTTTTTTTTTTTTTAAATTATCAGCTTATTTCAGACACCAGCAGCTAGAAATAAAAACATCGATTTCCTGTAGTGACCTTTTACAGCTCGTCCAACAAGCCTAAGTTCCCCAACAGTATTTCAGCACTCATCTAAGCATGTCCAGTTCTTGCTCTTTTGTTCACAGTTATAGTATAATCAAAGGTCATGAATTTAGAGATCTTTCTACATACCTGTCTCATTATATCTGGATTATTCAGCATGTGACTGATTTCTGGATTTCTCTGTATCAGTTGCTGCATTTGAGGGTTAGCCATAATTAACTGCCTCATCAGGTCAGGATTTGAAAGCATGCTCTGAACAAATGGATTCTCCATTATCTGAACCATCATTTCTGGGTTGGACATAAGTTGTTGTTGCATCTGACTCTGTAACTCTGAAAAATTTGATGCATTTAAGCCCAGGCTACTCAGGCCTGCCAAACCTTCAAGGCCACCTTTAAGACGAAAGAAAAGAAAAATTAAACTTTCAGCTTCTAGTATATTTCCAAACACATCCAGGTTCTTTCCAAGTACAAAATACATACGCATAACCCACACTTCAAAAAAAATGGAAATTCTATCTTTACAAGGCTCTTAAGGAGTCATCTACTAAGAGTTTGCTTCTTTACATAATGAGACACCTAGAAATCCAAATGGCATCTGAAATATAACTTGCTACAATTCTAACAGCTTTTCTTCTAGTTTACTATAGCTGAGGTACAAGGGGTGTTTGAGTTTCGGAGCCTCAGGTTAATTCCCAACACTTTCCAATACATTTGTAATAATCATTTATAGACCACCACGAGGCAGACAGACCACCGCCATGAGGAATCTCTTAATATGATGCATACTCCCTATTCTAAACAAAAAGTAGAGCTCTTATTTTTGCTGATGCAACATGAACTAATGCTTTAAATTCTCCTTTGCAGAGTTCAGCAAACAGAAAAGTTTCACATTTTTAGGTCAGTCTGGATAACTATTTACAACTGAAAAAAGCAATTGCTTAACATATTTTTTCTGTGGTTGTTTTTTTTTTTTTGTTTGGTTGGTTTGTTTTTTTGTAAGAAGAAAACAATGAAAGACCATGAATAACAAAACCCTGTAACTATGGAGAGATAGTATTTTTAAATCAATAGACTTTTGTCTCTGTTCCTGACTATTCCAAAGAAGACTGATAACGCAATCAGGCTCGGAACCTGAGAAATACTGGTTTGTAGGATAGGAGTAACTTGGTTACTTCTGTTCCAAGTCATGATGTTATGGGTCCAACTTAAATACTCTCTTCAGGTCAATTCAAATGGAGGAGGAGAAGACTGGAAGGAGTTTAATTACCTATAGTGCCAGAATATGAGATCAGCAGCACCTCACTACTGAAGATGAACCAGCACAAGCCTGAAGTTCTATACATAAAAATTAAGTAAACAACTTAGCTCTGATAACTTACTGATCAGAAACTTATTACAACCAATACCACAGATTATTGTAATCAGTAATTTATAGTTTAGGTGTTTTTAAGCCCTGTTTACACTAGAATAAAGCTCCAGGGATACTTACCTGAAACCAAGGTACCTAAGATACCCACCATGTTATCTAACAAATATTCTTACCCAAGCCAAAAGAATTGCTATTTGTTGAAGTTGGCATTGAGGTATTAGTGCTTGATATTGATGTGGTAGCAATACTGCCAGTGATATGTGTTTGTTGAACTGGATGGTCTTGTGATCTATAAAAAGTAATTAAAAAAAAGAAGTACAAGTTGAACAAGGTGTAGTAAGTTGACCCAAGACAGTTAAATCTCCACCAAGTTATGCCATTTTCCCCCCCACCCCAGGCAGGATGGGCAAGAGAATTGAAAAGGCAAAAGTGAGAAAAATTCATGGGTTGAGATAAAGAGTTTAATAAGTGACGAAAAAAAAGTAAAACAGAAAAGTGATGCAAAGGTAATCACTCACTACCTCCCACCAGCAGACCAATATCTAGCCAGTCTCTGAGTAACAGCTACTTTGAAAATTTCCACCCCAGTTTTATTACTTAGCATGACATTATATGGTATGCAATACCTTTGGTCAGCTTGGTTCAACTGTCCCAGCTGTGTCCCCTTCCCAACCCTAGCCAACTCACTGGAGGGTGCAGAGCAGACACAAAACAAGAGAAAAGGAAGGCCTTGATGCTGTGTGAACCTTGTTCAGCAATAGTTAAAACATCAGTGTGTTATCAACACTCTTGTCAAAGATCCAAAACACCACACCATACACACTGCTGTCTTCATAGACATAGTACAACTACATCCAAGTCAGACCCAGTACATGAGGTCTGGCATTTAATATAATGTAACAATGAAATTTAATATAGGAACAGTATCATACTTGAGAATCTTAATTTACATTTTTATTATATCTTAAAAAAAATAAATAAAAAATTAACTATTATTTCTAGATGTCGTCCTGGCCAAACTCAAACAGGAAGTATACAGAAGGTGGAAGCAAGGGTGGGTAACCTGGAAAGAATACAAAGACATTGTCTAATTCTCTCTTATACAGAGTTAGGAAAGACAAAGTCCAAATGGAATTGAATTTGGCAAGGGATATTGAAGACAACAAGAAAAGTCTATAAGTACATACGTGACAAAAAGAAGACTAGGGAAAATGTGGGACTGCTGCTTAATGAGACAGGGGACCTGGTTACACAGGACATGGAAAAGGCTGAGGTCCCAAATGCCGTGTTTGCCTCAGTCTTTATTAGCAAGACTGACCTTCAGGAATACCAGGCCCTTGAGACCAGGGGTAAAGGTTGGAGCAAGTAAGATGTACCCTTGGTGGAAGAGGATCAAGTCAGGGAATACTTAAGCAAACTGGATGTACATAAATCTACTGTCCCTGATGGGATGCACCTGCAAGTGCTGAGGGAGCCAGCAAATAGCATTGCAAGGCCACTCTTGATAATCTGATAAATCATGGCAATTGGGAGAAGTGTCCCAAGACTGGAGGAAAACAAATGTCACTCCTCTCTTCAATAAGGGCAAGAAGGAGGACCCGGGGCTGGTCAGACTCACCTTGATCTCCAGGAAGGTGATGGAGCAGCTAATCCTGGTAATTTCCAAGTACAAGAAGGACAAGAAAGTCATCAGGAATAGTCAGCATGGATTCACCAAGGGGACCAACTTGATAAACTTTTATGACAAAATAACTGGCTTTGTAGATAAGAGAAGAGGAGTGGATAATTTCTACCTGGACTTCAGGAAGGCCTTTGACACTGTCTCTCAAATGATCCTCAAAGACAAACACTTGATGTATATGGTGAGGTGGATTGAAAGCTGGCTGAATGACCAGATCCAAAGGGTGATGATCAGTGGCACAAAGTCTAGTTGGAGATCAGGAGCTAGCAGCATACCCCAGGGGTCAATATTGGGTCCAGTCCTATTTAACAGGCATCACTGCAACCATGACCAACTTTTCCTCCTACCCCACGGATGCCTGTCAATGAATTGCTTCCTCAGTCCTTACCTTGCTTTAGGGATCCTGATATACTCCTATCCCTTCAAATAGTACTAATTCCATGTCTGAGGCTTAAAGAAGAAAAGGCTAGCAAGATCTATAATACAGGGTTTATTCCATACCACACCTTTAGTAGAATGCTCCAGTGAACATCAAATTAAGTTAAAGTCTTATTTCATCACAAGACTAATATCAGAATTTCAATATTCTTTAAGACTGTAAGAGTATGGTAACAATGTAGTTACACAAAGTTAATGCCATCATAAACTAGCACAAGCACTAAAGGCTGCTTGCCTAATTTGTATGCTCACCACACCCGTCTACTGCAGGGACATGAGTGCTATCATGCAGTGAAACAGATCAAGAACTACTCCAATCGTCTTCAGACTGTTATTCTGCACCAACTGTAACTAAGGAGCTGATTCAAGTTATTTAATAGTAATGGCTCAGTTTAAAAGATAATTTTTCAAAAGGCACATGTATGATATCTAGAGACACAACCTTACAGAATTTGGGTTGCTTCTCTTGTTCAATAGCAGGAGTATTTGTACTGCTTTTGAATGCATTTTAGTCAAACCTAGGGTTGTCCAACAGAAAGCTATCACGCTAGCAATTAAGAATATTTTTACTTCCTTTACTTCTTAAAGGGTAAAAAGAGATTGCTCATCATTCAGGTTACCTGTTTTGTGTTTTGATGACCAGGTGAACAGTGAGTCCATCATGAATCCCATGCTGAATCAAAGTATCTTGATCTTTTAAAATTTTTCCAGCAAATATCAAAACAAGCTGATCATTGTGGGACTTGAAATGCTTAGAGATTTCTTCCTTGAACTAAAGAGAAGTTAATATTATATAGTTATATAATTGAATACTGAGCTATTCAGATTTTTTTAATAATTTAAGGAAGAACTATTTTTCTCATATTTATTATATTAGTCCATTTGCACAATGTTTCACTTTATACAATCTAGAAACACTTTACTAAGTTATCTCAAGTTTCTTTTTATCCAAAGGAAGATGGGAAATCAAGTAATTCTTTCATATAATTAAAGTCAAGTGTTTCATAGCTAGATTACTAAGTATATAGCTGGCAATAACAAAAAAATGGCTTCCACTTAAAGACTATACTGTCATTTCAGTCAGGCATGTACCCAGGAGGCAAAAAATATATAATAGTACACATGCCAGCGAAACCATCCATTGCTGACATGTTGAGGATGCATCAACACATTATGTTAATTCAGTCCACGTTTGTGCAGGCATTGAAAGGAGCAATATCCTTTCTTCTTAGACATATTACTGCTGCCTTTTACATGTCAAAACTAACAATCTTTTCCATACAGTCAAAAATTATTTCTTAGGTGGCTCTTCTGTCTCATCCAACTCATGACAGCTACATGAAATGAGCTTCCAGCACATATGTTATCACAGAGGCACTACCACTGTTGCTGGTTGGCTCGGCCTTGGCCAGCAACGCATCCATCTTGGAGCTGGCTAGCACTGGTTCTATCAGACATGGGGGAAGCTTCTGTCATCTTCTCACAGAAGCCAGCCCTGCAGCCTCCCCACTCCCGCTACCAAAACCTTGCCACACAAATCAAATACAGACATGTTTATCCATCTTTTTCTCAGAGGTCCCCAGAAGCTCTATAGCTTTCTTCTAAGAAATCTATTTCAGTGCTTCACTATCCTATTAATTGTCCTGTCCACCATGGACATGGCAAAACAGATTGTTGTTCTCCTCAGAATAAAGGGTTGCAGTACAGCAAATAAGACCCAAATTGTCATCTTTTGATATGTTACCACCATATAATGATTCAAAAGCTTTTTGCTGACTCAAAGTATGCCAACAAAACCAGCAAGTACAATAGCATTAATGCCCATTCACATGACAAAGTGCTATGAAAGAAAACAAACATGAGATACTTTCCCCAATTCCTCTCAACCTTGATTTAATATAAGATACATTTTTAAAAAAATAATAAATTACAAAAACTACATTAACAGTCTTAAAGAGGCCTCAAGGAATTAAACATGTAGTGATGTGAGTATTGGTCTCTTCTCCCAAGTAACTAGTGATAGAATGTGAAGAAATGGGCTTAGAGTTACACCAAGGGACATTTAGGAGTAGGGAAGAGATCGTGCCCCTGTACTCAGCACTGGTGAGGCCACAGCTTAAGTACTGGGTTCAGGTTTGGGTACTGTGGTGCCCACAAAAAAAAGACATTGAGGTGCTGGAGCAGGTCCAGAGAAGGGTAACAAAGCTGTTGAAAGGTCTGGAAACACATCTTATGAGGAGCAAATGAGGGAACTGGGACTGTTTAGTCTGGAGAAGAGAAGGCTCAGGGGAGACCTTATTGCCCTCTACAACTACCTGAAAGGAGATTTTAATGAGGTGAGTGTTAGTCTCTTCTCCCAAGAAACTAGCAATAGGATGAGAGGAAATGGGCTTAAGTTGCTCCAGGGGAGGTTTAGATTGGATATTAGGAAGAATTTCTTTACTGAAAGAGTGGTGAAGCATTGGAACAGGCTGCCCAGGGAAGTGGGGGAAGTCACTATCCCTGGAGGCATTCAAAAAAAAGTGTGGATGTGGTACTTCAGGAAATGGTTTAGTGGTCATGGTAGTGTTGGGCTGACAGTTGGACTTGATGATCTTAGAGGTCTTTTCCAATCTTAAGGATTCTATGACTCTATGATTCAAATACCACTGAAAACCAATGTAAAACATGCTCCTAAAATTGTGAATTTGAAAATATTATCTAGATTACAATAAAAACAAAGCAACAAGATTTCTGACTCTTCCCAAACCAGACTGTTTTGAACACAGGATCAGAATTTTGACACTGACTATGGTTTACAGTAGATGAGAAACAGCTAGAAAGCTCACCCAAACAAGGCTTTGTCCTGGTTTGAGATAAAAGAGCTGGTTTTGCTCAATGATTTTAACTTCTTAGCTAAAGCTCTTCTAATTATCTGTCCTATCTGAAGTTAGCAGCATTTTCACAAACTGTCTGGTTTTAGCAGTGATAAGACTTCATGTTTAGTTACTGCCAGGGATTGGTATGCAGACCAAGGCCACTGCTAAGCTTGGATCCCACACGGAGGGGGGCAGAGAGTACACCGCACATGCGGGGAGGAGCAGAAAGAATAACTGACCCAAAGATTCACCAA